CTACAGAGGTCTCTGTGTTCCTGGCCAGTGTCTCTGGCGGCTGTGGAAAGCAACAAAGCAGGTCCCGACATCAGAAGACTCTACCTCGATCCCTGGAAACGCCTACAGGCAGCCCAGGCAGATACACAAGAGTTCAAAAAGGAAGGCTCCTTTGTGGAGGGAATACATGCAATCCTGCAATAGTCGGCCAGGAATGGGGAGGCCCAACTATCCCAGCAGGCTTTGCTCTCTGCCTGCCACCTCAGCAGAGGCCCCAGACTACACCTGCCCAATAGGATCCTGTGGTGCCAAGGCTGGGCACCATGCCACTCTTCTCTCCAAGAACACCTCAGCCTGGCACCATGCCAGGCACAGTCAAGCCTGTGGCCATCAGGGATTTCCTGAAACTGACATGCACAGAAACCTACAAGCAAATGCACAGGATCTTACAGCCACACTGGCAGCCTGGAAACCAGGTGCATGGCTGAAATAGGGCATCCAAGTGCCTTCCAAGGACACACCATGATGCCAGTCTATACACATACCTCTATCGCACAAAGACTTAGAAAGGACTGTCACAAACCTGCAGGCTTTCTTCCTTCCTCTTTTGTTTTTTGGAGACAGGGTTTATTTGCATAGCCCTGGCCGCCTGGAATTCACTCTGTAGACCAGGTTGACCTCCAGAGATCCACTTGCCTCTGCCTCCTGAGTGCTGGGACTAAAGACATGGGCCACCACAAGGCAGCCTGCAGCTTTTTAATACTGTACCGTGGGTACTGGTGATGGTGGGTCTCTAATCTCAGGACAAATCAAAGGTCACGGGGGAGGGCTCTGGATGACTAAATACCTTGCACCATGGTGGTACTGATGAACTAACTGGAGGCCAGAGCATGGGCTGGTGTGCTCAGTGCTCGGGAAGATGGCCTGCTGAAGGTAAGGAGTGCGTGTGCAAACAAAGAGATGAATTCCAGGTAGAGGAAGATAAGAGGTCACAGTGGGACCAGTCTGCAAAGTGTGTGGTGGCCTTCCCACTGGCTCACCAAGAGATTCTCTTAGAAGGGATATGGGAGGGAAAAGATGACCTTCAAAGGTCACTGTGTTTATCTTTCTGTTGCCAGTCAACAGGGAGTGTCCAGGTACTTGGACATTGTTCAGTTCCACTTGGGTCAGTGAATCCAGGCTACACTGTGGTCCTCGAGGCCAGTCAGGTATATAGAAGAACAGCTCTGCCTATTAGGGATATGCCATGCCAGTAGTAAACCAGACAACTGGACTCCCTGCTAGGGTTTGGATAAGTGTCTTCAAAGACCACGAGGCTCTAACTTGTGTTGCTCTTGGGAGGTAGTTAAGATGTGGGGACTCATGGGAGGTCTTGGAACCCTGGCCCCTTCCTCTCTAATTCTGCTTCCCAGCCACTATGAGGCAAGCAGTTTCCTCAGCTACACACTGCCTGCCATGATGCACTGTCCCACCACAGGGCCAAATGACCACTGCCTGAAACCTCTGACACTGTGAGCCCAGACGGAGCTTTGCTCATAAACTGACTATCTCGGGCATTTTGTCATAGTGACAGCTGACTAACACAGTAGGGATGGGTCACCTCAGTGGGGAGTATGCCAGTTCCTCGTATTCTGACACTCCATGAAGTGGGATAATACAGCCTGAAATTTTGGGGACCCAAGAGAAACTGCTGGGCTGAGACAGTGACTATGCACCTTCTATGCCGCCCAGCACTTATCCTTTCTTTGTCAAACCATTCCTTCCCCAGGACTCCTTAAAGAGGGCAAGCCTAAGCCCCCAAAGCTACGGTGCACGAGCAGGAGGAAGCCTAGGCGAGGGGCACAATGGGGTAAGAGTGGGGGGAAATTCTTTTATCCTTTTGAGCATCAGTTCTAGGCTGCTTCTGAACCAGGAACTTTTTGGTTTAGGTCTGAAGAGAAAGGCCACACGACCTTGTCCCTAACCCAGCTATACCCAAAGTAGGCCAGATTCTCCTGGTTGCCATGAGAACACATCTTGATTGGCAGTGCCAACAAAATTTCACACACTTGATAGCATTTACTCTGCTCAGTACCAAGGATCCCTCTTTGGGAAATGAGGAAACACAACTCAGGAAGGTCACCACTAGGCCCAAGGTCACAGCAGACTGAAGACCAAAGGCAAGCTACCCAAGCTGGATCCTGGGTCTCAGGCCCTTCTCACTTTACACTGTTCCTCAAAGGAAGGGGATAGTTCTGTGATCCTTCAAGGTAACTGCCTGGCATCCTGCCTGCACCCTTTGAACGGTGTGTGAGGCCTTTCCACACATGATAAGCTGGAGAGTCTCCAAGTGAGGAAACACTCCCTGAATCCTTCAAGTGGCACCAGCAGCCATAATGTATCAGCTCACCATGAACTGCCTGCCACACACAGTTCTGGACTATTTCTATGTGCAGACTACAAAGCAGGGGGAATGGAGGTATGAGACAGTGACTCTACACTTGGGCTCTATGGGTAGTGCTCAGGGGCTCTGTGCACCTCTTCAAATTCTTTGCAAGATCAGGTGCATTTGTCCGAGGAGAGTACTTGAGGCTCTTCAGGAGCCTCAGAAAGATCAAGGATTCGTTCCTTGAGGATCACAGGAGTCAGGGACCAATGCTTCCTCTAACCCTGTATATGCTCTGAACACACAGAAATCCAGTGCTGAGCCCTGGGGAGCAGCTCAATTGGAAGAATGTTTGCCTGGCATGCATAAGGTCCAGAGCTTGATCTCCAGTACCAAATAAACTGGGTATGGTGGCTCAAGCTTGTAATCCCAGCACTTTGGGGTGGAGGCTAGAGGATCAGAAGTTCAAGGTCATCATCTTGGTGGCCAACCTGGGGCATATGAGACCTTGCTTCAAAAAACCAAAATCCCAAACCCAAACACATATCAACTACAGGAGAAAGTATTGTGTGGACGGTGGTGGTCAAAACTGCCCCGGCTCCTGCCAGGAGGGAACTAAGATGAACTAAGATGAAAATAGTATCTGGGGGGAGAGCCACTTCAGACTGCAGCACAAATCTGGCTAGACATTCTGCTAGTTGGTTTCAGGGTCCTAGAAAACACCCTTCTCATTTGTCACAGACATTTGGACATCCCTGAGCTCCACTCCCACATGCTTGAGGCCAATGACCATTCCCTGGAAGGGTCCTATCCCCACATTACAGGCAACACAGGGCAGCTCTCCAGGTCCACAGCCCTCGTTGTCAGACACAGGGCAAGGCAGCCCCAGGAAAGGGAGAAGTCTAATAACCCTACCCCTTCCCTTTAGCTCTTCCAGGCCTGTGGCTGAAGAGGTGCCAGAGATCCAAAGACCAGTGAGCGGAAGACCCTAAAGGGAGAGGCCCAGACTCCCACAATGCAATGTGTAATTAGACCAGATACCCAAAACATCTGCCTCCTCCCCAAGACCTCAGCCTCCTCTGGTGAGCTTCTAACTTGTGCTCACGGATGGCCACCTTCATTTTCTCCCTACCCCTCAAGAAGCGCTTGTCAGCTTCCACGCTTTAGCATTCTTCAGTGTGGCATTCCTAGTACTGGGGAAACGGCATGTGAGCCGTACAACCCTCTTACTGTCTATTGCGGAAATGGCTTATGATGGTCTGGAAAATCCATTTTCTGTGTGAAAGTGACAGTTATCATGGAGGTCATACAAGGTGGGCTTCTAATTTTTTCAAAAGACAGAGGAATACACATCACTAAAGTTATGTGGTGTAAAATGTCATCTTTCTTTGATGATTCTCAACCCAGGAAAAGTACTCAAGGATCCAGTAGCCTCTGGGGCATCACTGTGGATGCCATGTCATTAGGAAAAGTGAAAGCCTTACATCTCATCTTCCCAAGTCCCCTGGCCTCTAGGTCTCTCTCTTTCACAGTGCACACCTTAGGAACAAACTCCAGAGAAACACCCTAAGGGTGTGAAGGAAGCCATGGTACAGAATCCAGGGAGATACGTATGCAATTAGAGATTCTGGAGGCTCCTCCCAGGAAACTGTCCCTACAGCCTCTTCTATCAGTAATGGGAAAACCTCAAAGATCAGCTGAGGTTTTCCCTCCCCTATTGGCAGTAGACCGCATATCTACTGGGGTCCTTCAAGATTATAAGGTCTAAAAAGGAAGAAAGAGAGAAAGAAAGAAAGAAAGAAAAGAAACGAATATAAGGTCTGTGTGAGTCTGGGCCACAAAGCCAGACCAAAGCAATCTGATTACCATTCTGCAGAGCACCTATGCGCCCTCCTGCCCCTGCCACTCAACAAGACTTGGTAGTACAGGCTACACCTGTCCCCACAAAAAAAACGAAAAAGGAAAACAAAAACAGAGTGGGTGACAGCATCAGGCCTTGAACTGTGGGAACTGACCAGATCTGTAGTTTGCCCCTAACCAGTGGATGAGGACGAGGCTGAGGGTAGAGTACAGTCTCTGTCCCTGCTGGCCAAGAAACCAAGCCTAGCTTCATTCTGGCCAAGACTTCAGCAGCGGCTCATGGCCAGGACCAGTCAAAGTTAGGGAAGGTGAAACCACAATACACAATATCTCCAAGTGGCAAATGACCTAGGTACTGAATGAAATCTTACCAGTCCTAGGGACATGTCTCAAAAGCTGGCTTTAGTAGAAAACTGTGCATTCCCTGGGGACCCTTGGAAGAGGGTGACAGATAGTGGGCAGAAAGGAAAAAGAGAGCCCTGGCCCAGACCAGGCATACATCTCTGTATCCTCTCTCGCCAATTGTCCCTGGGGACCTGTGGAAGAGAGGAGCAGGGACAATGTTCCAACAGGTCCCCTTCACCAGCCTGGCCGGGTCAGCCTTCCTCGTCCTAGGCTGAGGCCCCAAATTCAGCGGGAACGCAGAGGCACCTGCTGCCACACCGCTCCATCTCCGCTGAAAGGGGACCCTGGGCGGTGCCTCAGGGCTCTCTCGTCCCCCTCCTCACAGAGGCGGGGCACTCCGGGAGCCGCCGCGTCCCCCCCTCCGCCCCCGTCTCCCCATCCCCGCGCTCACCTGGCGCAGGTGCTGCAGCAGCGTCCCCGCCTCCTCCCGCCGGCCCTGGCGCACCATCCGCAGCAGCTCCTGGACCATGCTGACGCGCCGGTGGTAGGGGGGCAGCCCAGCGCTCGCGCGCCCCGCCTTGTCCCCGGCGCGCAGTAGCAGCGACGCCCAGAAGTCGGGTCGTTCGCGGCGGGGGCCGGGCGCCGCGCCCGGGCTGGCTCTCTCCGCCAGGCTGCCCTTGGTCTGCCGAGTGCCCATCCCGCCGCCCGCCCGAGGTTACGCGTGCCGGGCCAAGATCGCGTCCCCCGCCGGCCGCGCGCCTCCCCGGCCGCAACTTTGGGGGAACTGTTGCGCGCGGGAGGCGCGGGAGGCGCGGGAGGCGCGGGGCGGGGGCGGCTGCGGCCCGCGCTCCCCTCGCTCCTCCCTCCTCGCTGCCCCGGCGCGCTCTCCCGGCGCTCGCCGCCAGCCCGTCGGCCCCGCCCCGCAGGCTGCCCCGCCCTCGCGCCGCCGCCGCGTGTCTCCGGCCCTCCCCGCCGCCCGCTCCTTCCCGCCGCGCGGCTCTGGGTTAGGGGTGCCCGGCGCCCCCGCCCTGCATTGTCCCTGGTGCAGCGCCCCCTGCCGGCCACCGTGCTGCGCTTTTGGGGCCCGCGGCGCCCTGGCAAAAGGCCGTTGAGCCCATCACTGAGTTTCCCGACGCTTCCATGACCGCGCGCGTGGGTGAGGCCCCTGGGGTGGTGGTGGTGGGGAGAGATCGGTGTGCCGAGCGAGAAGGGAAAACTTTGGAACTTGGAGACCCTGTTGCCCCAATGTCTGCTTTCTCAGAGTGGGCTCCGCAGAGACCCGGTACTGCAGATTGTCCGAGGAGCTGGCTGGAAGCGCAGGATCGCAGGCCTGGCTCCATGCCCATTGAATGAGTCTCTTCTCTGGGCCTGGAAATGTGCATTTAGCTAGCATATTGGGTGGTTCCGATGCTCACTCCTGGAGCCCCGGTGGCTTTCAGAGTGATGGTGGCTTGTGCACGGAGTCAGACCCGGATCCTCTGAACTGTTTGTTTTTTGTGAACTCTGCATTCTTGTTCTCCCTCTGCTGAGAGGGGCCCTTTACGTCGCCCTACTCCTTCAAAACGGAAATGCGATTTCTTGTACGTTCCTGTTGCCTTCTTCCCGGGTTTCTTCTGCCAACCCCCTGGGAACTCATGGTGCTTTGATAAGGTACTTTGGGAGGCCTGTGACTGCCCTGTTGGTAGCTGTAGGAGCGACCGCAGTTTTGTTAGCTCTTGTTTCTTCAGGCAAGAGGGCTGGAGTTTACCACCTGCTGAGCCATATCATGGTAGCCTTCAGCTGCTCTCTCTCTCTCTGGCACTCTCTCTCTCTCTCTCTCTCTCTCTCTCTCTCTCACTCTCTCTCTCTCTCTCTTTCTCTCTCTCTGTGTGTATGTGTGTGTGTGTGTCTATACACTTGGTTTTTTTTGTTTGTTTGTTTAACAAGGTTTCTCACTGGTCTGAACTCCCTAAGGGACTAGTTTGGCTGGCCAATGAGCCACAGAAATCCACCTATCTTCCTCCTTCCTAGTTTAGAATTGTTAGGTGAATGCTGCCACACTTGGCTTTTCGTAAAAGCCAGGTCACATTATGTATCCCTGGCTAACCTGGATCTTTCTATGTAGACCACCAGGTTGACCTTGAACTCAGAGACCTGCCTGCCTTTTGGTAACCCCCCACACACCCCCAGTACTGGTATTAACGGCATGTACCACTACTGCCTCGGTAAATTTAAATTTTAAATCAATTAAAAATTTCATTCTTTTGGCGGGACGTTGGTGGCACACACCTTTAATCTCAGTGCTCGGGAGGCAGAGGCAGAGGCAGGGGGATCTCTGGGAGTTTGAGGCCAGCCTGATCTACAGAGTGAGTTCCAGGACAGGCTCCAAAACAATACAGAGAAACCCTATCTCGAACAAAAAAATTTTTTTTTCATTCTTTTAAAAAGTAAGTTATTGATATCAAACTCACCAACTGAGCTGTGTCTCAGTCCAGTGGAAACTTTGGAAAAATTATGTAATGACACTTGTTATTCAAGACCATCCTCAGGGTTTGGCACTAAGGGGGAGAGACCTAGTTTGGCTCTGAGTTTATAGCAACACAGCAGGGTGGGTGTTGATGGATGGAAAATGACTAAGTGGAAGCACATATAAGGGGATTCTGGCTAAACTGGCCTAACAGAATTGCTGAAGACAGAGTCAGCATCCCCTGCAGTCTGGTAGAGGATGAAAAAACCTCATCAGATATTGCCGGTGATCAGCTATCCCCAGCTCTTCCTAAACTGACTTGATAAAACTCTTTCTACAAGAAAGTGCATGATGGGCCTGGAACAATTCAGGAGCCTGACAAGTGTGGCTAAGCAGAGACTCTTATCCATAGATGAACTCCAAGCAGAGGTGTTGCCGAAGTGAGAATTCTTTTCCTTCTTCCCTTCTCTGCCAACCCTGAGTGCCTTGAGGAGGAGGCCTTGGGTCTCCCCAGATTCCTTTTGCAGACTTTCTTGGACTTTTGGACTTTCTTTGAGAATACTACTCTGACTCCACAGCTTAGCATAGCATTCCAAACCACTTGTGCTTTTGTATGCAGAACACACCTACTGGTGTCTTGAGAATCCTGTTTGGGAAATCCTCCTGTGTCTTATGGCCTGCATGACAACCCATGGAAGTAGCTATGGAGGGAGGACCCCTACTGGTGGGGGCCCTCCACATCCCTGGAGATAGAGCTACACCACTCTTGAGTCAGCAGGCTGACCTGGGGATGTGTGATTGGAGCAGATGCAGTCTCGTCAGGATCTGAGGCTTTCTTCTTCTTTTTCTTCTTCTTCTTCTTTCTTCTTCTTCTTCTTTGGAGCAGATGCAGTCTCGTCAGGATCTGAGGCTTTCTTCTTCTTTTTCTTCTTCTTCTTCCTTCTTCTTCTTCTTCTTCTTCTTCTTCTTCTTCTTCTTCTTCATTTTCTCTTTCTAGCCTTGCTTTCAGAGATAACAGTGCAGATCTCCATTTATTAAGAGACGGGCTGAGTTTGCCCCCACCTCCTCTTGCCACCGATGCCCCACCCCCTCCTTCCATTTCAGCCAAGCTTTTAAGAAATGCCTGGTATTTATTGTTACAACTTCTTTACCTCCATTCATTCTTCTTCTACTACAGTTTGGCTTCTGGCCACGCCACATCATTGAAATGTATCTTGCCAGTGACCTAGTTGCTAAATTCAGTGGCTACTTTTGGTCTTCCTTCATCTTACTAGGATATGCGGCATCTCATCCTGTTGCCTACTCAGTTTTGGTTGAAACTACTTTCTAGTCTGGCCTGATGGTGCAGCCCTGTAATGCCAGCACTCGGAAGACTGAGGCAGGAGGATGGCAAGTTTGAGGCTACATAGGCTATAGAGGACTACTTGGGCTATAGAGGAAGCCTGCTTGAAAAGGAGGTACTCTGCGGGTTTCCTCTTGCCGTGCTGGAGACAGAACCCAGAGCCTGTATGCTTTCCTTCCTGAGTCCTCTGGAGCCCTCTTTCTTACCTCTGTCTTTCACTTGTTGGCACACAGGTATTGTCTGAACCCTCCTTGTACGCTTTGCCATTTATACCCATGGCTTTCACACCGTGCACACACGGGTAACCCTGACTCCTTCTAGTTTATGAGCTAATAAGCGAACTTGCCATTGGTTATTGGCAGAAGACATGTGACTTCGAGATTAGAGACCTAGGACTTTGCTGCCCCGGCAGAGCAAATAGCAGGAGTATCAGCATATTTGTGTAAGTTCTTCTTGCCTCCAAGTCCTGCAGGGGCAGCATGATGGGCCCAGATGGATGCCCTGCTAGCAGATGGTTTGTGTCATAGCTGAGAAACATGGAGCTTGGGGGTGGGGTGGGGAGATCTACGGCTTATAAAGGAAGCAGCAAATAAGACTGCTCTTTACCCTGGAGGGCAGTAGTATGGCATCCTTCAAGGTTGCTTGTTATAAGCGCAGCACTGAGAAGAGGCTCAAGTAAAAAGGGGGAGTCTTTCCATTCACAAGATGTGAGAGAGTGCCAGGCTCCTGGAGGACTGTCTTTCAACAGCAGGCCCCTCACCTTCTTCCAGTGAGTATGTCCTCTCCCAGGCCTGCTGCCCAGGTGGAGCACTCCGGTCTCTGCTCACTGTCAGGGACAGGCCAGAGACCCTGGAGAGAGTACCTGCACCTAACTAACTGAGTCTGCTCACGCCGACAACAAGGCTGGCGGCTCTGCTCTGTTGCGGGGTCTCTGGTTCTCCACATGCCTTGCTTTGGGTTGTGTCATTTGCATATATTGTTCTATTTCATCCTGTCTGCAGGTTTGCTGTGAGGTTTGCTTTTTTATGGTCCTGATTTCCCAGGTGAAAAATGGCCTCTCATTTGTTCAAAGTCACATGGATGGTGAAGGGCAGAGCCAGAGAGTTGAATTTAAGTCTGTCTGGAAGCCTGTATTGTTAGTACTTCATGCCATTGGTCTTCCTTTTAGTATACATCCCTCTCTGATAGACAGCTACTGCTTTGGTGTGTATCTGTATAGGTCTGTGCACCCAAATGCAGTTGCCCTTAGAGGCCAGAAGAGAGCATCAGATTCCCTGTAGCTAGAGTTAATGGTAGTGATGAGCCACCCAGGTGTGTGCAAGAGCAGTATGCACTCAGCTGCTGAGCATCTCTCTAGCTCCTGTTTTTATTTTAAAATTAGTCTTTTCTTCCTTCCAGATAGCATCTTACTATGCAGCGCAGGCTGGACTCAGAACTTACAGTCCTTCTGCTTTAGCTTCAAATGCTGGGATTATAGGTGTGAGTCAACACATCCAACAGATTCAGACTTTTAGAGGTTTTTCAGTCCATGGTCAGGAAGACTCAGAGCTTTTAGGTCACTGTTTTGGTGCTTGGTAGCAATGGTGGGGAGTGCATAGAAGGACAAAGCTGTTCACTGTGTGTCTGAGAAGTGAAAGAGAAATCAGTCCTTCCATTCTGTGACCTCAGTGGTCTTAGTAGTTCCCACCAGGGTCCACCTCTTCATGTTTTCACTGCCTTCAAGTAGTGCCACACTAGAGACCTTTGGTGTTGCTCTTTCTTCCTTTCCCTCCCTCCTTCCCTCTTCTCTCTCTTTCTCTCTCTCTCTCTCTCTCTCTCTCTCTCTCTCTCTCTTTCTTTCTTTCTGTTCTGTTCAGGACTCCAGCCCATGGGATGCTGCTGCCCAGAGATGTGTTTCCTAGGTGATTCTGAATGCAATGAAGTTGATAATGAGGATTAGCCATCTTGAACTTCTTCCATGTGCTCTTACTACCATGGACTGACCCGTTCTGCTCTGTCTTCCCTTCCATGATGCACTGAGATCCTCTGGAACTGTGAGCCAAAACAAACCTCCCCCACTTCAGTAGTTTCTGGTTGGTGTGGTTACAGCAGTGCCTAAGTGACTGAGGGCATTTGCATTGAGGAGTTGTTGTAGATACTTAGGCTGCCAGTCAGCTCAGGTCTGGGACCACAGGAGAGCTAGAGGTGCTGGGGTGTGAGAGAGTCAGTGCGAGCTTTTCTCCCCTCAGTCTCATGATCATTTCTGGACTGAGACAACTTTAGTACTGACCTTTAGTGGACATCAGTCCCTTCATCTCCCCCACCCCCCACCTCCGTACAACAAAGGATTTTTCTGTCTCTTGTCAGCCATCTTCTGCTTGATCAAATT